CTGCAGCAACGCTCGGCTTTCTAGTCAAACACACACTTTCATTCTATGTATCATTTTACCTGAGGCCACATTAGTTATCTAAACTTTTATGTTTTGCTTACTCAAATTTGATTTTGAGGACCTTTTAAAGGGAAATTACAAGAAGTTTTTACCACTTTCTTTTACATATCTAAGAGCAACGAACAAATTTCATAGATAAATAGTTCTAAAAACTGTTATAGTCCTATTGAAGAATTTACATGTAGAAAATTAAAGGAAATTCCAGGTGTAAGGAGACCTAATAGCTTACAGTTTGTTGACAATCTGTTTGTTCACTTCATCATCCCTGGGTCTGAACCAGTCATACTAACCTAGTGATTAATAAAATCGATTACTGCCTTCTTTTAACAGATACAGTTTCTAAATTAAACACGTTGGCACAAAACTATGTCAATAGAAAAAGTTATCACTCTACAAATATTATGAACTGATTATCACTGTCTCATCTGTCGGAATTGCCAATCATTCCTTGTTTCTATATCATTACTGGTCACTTTCTGACACGTGAAGATGTTTGAGAAATACTCAAATCATACATCAGTAAAGATTTTCTATGCACCATCCTCTCCGAATGTCAAGTTCCCTGAATATATCAACAAAAATTGTGTATTGATTAAGAAGAATTCTCTGGGGTGAATATTTGTGAATGAACCCCAGAGATGAAAAGAAGCATAGTTAAGTTAGAACTCCACAGAGCATGCCAAGAAATATGCACATAGTGTACAAATGTGCTGCATGAGCAGAAAATTCACACTGCATCAAAATAACTATACTTCATGATGAATGTAACTGAAGTATGTAATTAATGTATTTTAGTATTGGAGATGCCCTGAATTCATGAGGCCCTGAGCTTAATACCCAATAATACAAAAACAAAATAAACAAATAACCAAACAAAAATCTTTTCAAAGAACAATTTGCTCATGTGTCAAACAGAAGTTGAACAGTCTCAGTGTTAAATTTGACTTGTATATATTGATATACACTATCTTGAACAAAACACAAGCTATTAATTCACAAGTAGACAATCATGTTCTGTAATTTTCAGCAACATGACCTTTTGTGCACAGTTGTTCATTCTTCAGGAAGATGCCCAGGTAAAGGTAAAGTGAAAAAGTTAATTATTTTTGTCAAGACAGAGTTTGCTTTGATGTTATACAGGCATTTTCATTGTACTGAGTCAACCTGTCCCAACCTGTGACTTTGGAAACCATTACACACAAAGAACAATGCATTTGCCATGGGAATCCCAAGCATGGAGGTCAGTACCCCGGAATGAGTGTTTCCTGCAGTGACTCTTCTTTCTCTGTAGTATAACTGAGATTTAGTGTTGATGGGATCTGAAGCAAGACCAGGATTTAAACAGGGAAATGGCTACCGAGGCCAAGACCTAGAACAGTATGGATACCACAAACTGTACCAGCATCCCCCCTTTGCCAGCATGGTCTTCTCAGAGCTCCCTACATCTCTCTCTGGTTTGTAGTTTGCTGAGGAAATGCGTGTTGTAAATACTGATATTGAAATATATTTGCCAAAAATTTCACTTATACTTTCTATTATAATCTGAAAACCAAATCCAAGTTCATACTCCTTAAACAGATATACATGTTCCAGTAAGGCCATCACTGCTATCAAAATCTTTTCAAGAGTGAGACTGACAGAAATTTCTAAGAAAAATGTGAAAATATTTCAGGCACCTTTTGGTCCTGACAGATACTCACTTCTTGTCATTAAAAAAAAAAAAAAGGAACTGGAGGCAACTGGTGAGGCCCAAGGTACTGAAGGCCAGGTATTGTATCACAGCAATAACAACATGGAACAGCGATGGATCCGCAAACGTTTCCATTTTAAGAAAATGATGACCTTCTAGAGTTTCCAAAAATTAATAACTCTTTAAAAGGGGCTGATAATCACATGTTAAACTTCACTCCACCAACCTGCCATTGACCATAATGTATACAAAACAACTCAGTGCGCTAGACTATCCAAAGGATCAGATTTGATGGACTCTTTTATGCTAAATCATTTATTGGCTAATTTCCAGTAAGAAAATCAATCTTAAAACAAAATGTAGACTTATTATGGAACCGAATTCAACATGGGGTGAGGCAAGATATTACAGAAGACAGTTTACAGGACAGATGTGTCTGAGCACACAAATAAGCACAGCCTACAACTTGGAAAAGTGCTTACAGACTTTTTATATTTTAAGAAAAATATTTATCCTAAAAAATAATTTAGCCAACTGTTATCGTGATTTTTGAGAGAAGATTATAGAATGGAACACAACTCATCTTTGTTTAACTCTATAAAATATCAGGTCGCTTGTAAACTGAACCCAACATTATTCTTTAAAAAGACATCGAATAGCAAGATTTAGTTAACAATAGCTAAATAATTAAATCCGTAAGAGAAAATGGAAACAATTGCAAATAGACTATTTTTTTTACTTGAAAAAGACTTAAAATCAGAGGTCATAATTCTATACTTTTAATATTAGAATTCAATGAAAACATTTGACGATCAAATTTATAATTATATTTTGGTTTCCTATAATACAGTAAGTATTCATCTACTGGAAAAAATGTTGCTGATACAGCTACAGAGAAATCTGAAAATCCAGCACAAGCAACAACGAGCATATTAGTGTTTCAAGATTTATTATATGAATAACTGACAAAATAAGTGCCATAAAATTTTGCATAAAATGTACGGCCTTTTATTTCAGCACATCCTTTCCCCAATGCAAGGAAGGCTGTTGTCTTCACATGCATTTCTTATCTACTTTTGCTATTCCAATTCTAAATCCTCTTGCCTGTAACTAATCTTTTATGACTGAGGTCACTGAGGTGGTGCCAAGACTCAATAATGCCATTCAATCTACTGTAGCAATGTGCTTATCTCATTACTGGAATGTAGACCATTCAGGCCAACGCACTTCATGGGAATGATGAAATGTTCACCTAAAATGCCCTGTTGTTAAGGCTTCTCACACAGTAAAAATTGCAGTTGAAAATGTGCCCACATGTGCGTTCCAGTGAAGAATAAAAGTTGGCAGATAATTATTTGATGTCTCTTTTAATTGGGAAAAAAGAATTTTATGTGATTGTTGTATGATTGAAACAAGCATTCAAAATCATTTCTTGCTAAAATGCGTTAAAGACCATCCTACAAATGAAAAATTACAAGTAGATTTTATTTCTCTGAAGTTTCTACATTGTGAAAAGGGATTGGACTTACGTCTGTCCAAAAGAACAAATAATGAAAGCTTTTCAAGCTATTAGTCCCAAATACAGTAAGTGCAAAACAGAAATATTTTCCCTTTCAAAGTGATTGTTTCTCTAGATACTATTTTTAAAATGTTAGTAGTAATAGTTGATAATTGTGTCTGAAAGGCTACACAATAGACTCAGCTAACTCAGCTAACAGCTCATTGGTACATCAAGCAAAAGTAAATGTTTAACTACTGAAGCGAGGTACATAATTCAATTGCTTTTCAATGCAACTTCAAATTTCTCCTGCAACTCAAAAATATTTGCCAATAGTCCGGTACGGATTATCCACCTTCTGAACTTAAAAACTGTATCTATCTGCGTGTCTTAAGAGCTCTATCTCTGAATGTATTTATGTTGCTATGGTCCTTATTTCACAGTAACAAAAAACTTTACAACTGTCAGTCAAAATATATCTTAGCAAATTTTAGAGAAATAGTCTGCGAATTTCAGATACTTTGTAAAACTATGATAGTAAAAATAAAATGAGAGTTAAAATTAGGAAATAAAAAAAATAAAAGGGGTTCTAGAGCCAACCAAACAAGGCAGTGAGTGTTATTTTCTCTGCATCTGTTTAATGGTGGCAAATTTAATGATTGTTTTAATAAAAAAATTGACATCCAACAACAGTAATTTCTTATTTTACAGAAGAGTTTTCGTTAAATATTGTTTCAGCTATGAATTCACAGACCAAAAGAACTTACCAGATAAATTTCTTGCAACTCATAATTTCCATGAATTTTATTGCTGACTGATATGATCATTTAATGCACCCTAGCCCTCAGGTCAACTAACAGTAACATGTATATGAAGCCAACAATCACAGTGGAAAAATACAAACAAACTATCCAAAGGCAATCAGATCTTAAAAATCAAATTTAATTTCAGTTTGTTGGGCAATCCAAGTGAACAGTGTGCTATATTTTGTCCAGAAGAAATTGGCATAGTTACATGTGAGGTAGGCATAGCAATTAAGAGAGTTCTAATTCATGTTTCTAATTCGTAGTTCTCATTCTACAAACTGACAATTCATTTGATTCTCATAGATACAGCACACAGAAAATACAAGAGTGTAACTAAGATCAAACATTAGGTTACTATAGTACAAGAGGCAGAATCATGTTGTAGGGGTGGCACAAAGATTTCTTTAAACAGCACAGACACTGAGTTTCCTCTGCTTTACACTAAAGTGCTTTGCAGACTAGGTGCTTTTAATGTCTTAACATACTGCTTAAAAAATCACTGAAAAATCTAATATTGTTACTAACTATTAAACTAGGCTATTTCATTGCAACTTGTTAATGTAACACCAAAAAAAACTTATTATATAAAATTACATATCGGCTCGTGTGACAGAATTCAGGTGTAGAAAAGTCAAATCTAAAAGCCGCTCAAAAAAAGTGTGTGTCTTTGAGCTTCTCGCCTTCTTTCATGAAAACTCACCCTTTATCTTATAGGAAAACAATTAAATGCAATTGTTTCGTCATTCAGACGTATCTACATTCCAAACATTTCTATAAAAAGGTTTATTAAAATCATCAAGGTATCGCTTAATCTTTTAGAATTGCATAACAAATACTCACAACTACAGATCCCAAAACCAAGGCATTTTGATATACACAAAGACCCCACTTAAGTCAATGTTAGAGTTAATCACAGGCATAAAACTTCAGGAAAACTATTACTTACTGTTAACCGGCTGCTGCTCACAGAGAAGAAGAGGTTTATTAATTCATCTGTTGTTTGTCCCAGTGGGTTTTGAAGAATCTCTCCATAGTTTTTACTGCTCAGGGGGACGATCACCCCTATACTGGTGTGGTGAAGGAAAAAAAGTCCTTAAATTTCTTATTTCAGATTATTCTTATTCTATCGTGGTTTAGACGGCAACAGGCAAAGACTCCACAGCGACACTATGAGAAAAAAAAATTGAAGGCTTATTTCATATTTACTGTATAAAGTCATTTTTGACATGCCTATACAACTGGTTGTGGCAGCTTTCAAACATGATTTCTAATAAAAAAAAAAATCGCTCCAGGTTCTTTGAGAGAAAGCTCGCCGCTGGGAAGTTGATTTTGGCACTTGGCCAAAATCATGTGCAAAGGGGCCTCATTAAGGATTCATGGCAGCCTTCAGCACTCTCAAAAATGTGACCCAACAGGCTAAATCAGCGACTAAAATTAAAAAGTAAGAGACAAAGACAACTTACTTAATATTCCTTCCAAAGCAACATTCAACTTTTTATTTCTTTTTTGGATAATCAAACCCATGTTAGTCTAATCTATTGCCCTGTCCCTGTCCTCTCCTGTTCATACAATTTCTCTTTAAAACTTGTCAACTTCCCTCCTAAGAAACCATTTTCTTTCTGTGTGAGTTCGCAAAGATTTCGCTCTGTAATCAAACCATATCTTTTGCGACCGGTTCAACAACAGAAAAGCAAAACGTCGAAAGACGAACTATAGCATTCTGTTTTAGTTTTAAATCAATGAACAAAAACAACTAACCAATCTTCCGTGCATCTCAGCTTCCACAGAAGTGGGCACACAACCTTTAAACTGGCATCCTTTGTAGGGGAAAATTTCACTGTCAAACTTTGCTCCCCCGCCCCCCACCCCAAAGTAGCTCTGACCCGGGAACCTTACCTAGAGGTCTTCTGGCTTTTCTGTAGATCAAAAAGTTTCCTGCCTAAGCACACAGATATTCTTTCTCACACCATAGAGGCCCTTTTATGAATTCCGCACTGTAACAGGCTGCTTTCCACATCAGTTGAGAGCCCAGTGCGTCAGCTCTCAAGATAAAAATGCATGGCTAACACACAATTAGTGGGAGAGGTTGTCTCCAGGAGAATTTATCTTAGAACGAAAGAAGCAGAAACAGCTATTTTCCCCCCCTTTCTCCTCCTTTTTTTTTTTTTTTTTTCTGAAATAGCAAATAGGGTGCGGTCAGATGTTAGGATTTTGCCTGAGAAAAGGGCCCTGCAGAGCACTAGGACCCACTAAATACTAGCAGAGCAGCCTGGGAAGGGAGCCAACGGAAGGACTTTGTTTGACCCAGCTGCCAATCTCCCCCGAAGCCGTGCGCCAGACTAAACACTCACACTATTTTAACTCAAATCAGGCTACAGCAGCTGTTTGCTTTCCGGCTCTGAGCTCGGCACCCACATGGCCTGTGTAGTTCACCCGCGAGCTTTGTGAGCTGCCTTGCTGAAATCTGTTCCGGGGTGGGATTTATCAGTGGAAAGAAAAATTTAACCCTGCTCCTCATGGTTAACATAGATTGTTTGTCCCTCAGCTTTTGATCTGGTCACTGGAAGGTGATTCTATAATCTTTGAAAAGAGGAGGGATAATTTTACATCAAGAGAGAGATTTGGGATTTGAAGGTAAGGACTCCGAGTTTTCTTTTAAAGTTTTCTAATGTGCTGAAATTAACAGTAAAATGTGGCGATCCCAGTGCTCTGTACTGCAACTCTCGGAACAAGGGTGGTGTTCACTCATTCCAAGCCAACACTTTCCACCAAACAAGATGGAGAATTATGCTGATACGAGTAGTACTTAATAAAGTTGCCTCAATGGTCCCCTCCACTACTAGAAAGTTACCTCAAAAGCAGCGATGAAATAAAGTGCAGAAAGTTGCTTCTTGACATGCAAAGGTACAAGAAACCAAAAGCACAAAGCAATCCAATATCCCTCTATTTCTAAATTTTATTTGCTTATTAATCAAAATGTTGAAATCTCATTAATGATTGTCAGAGATTAAAATGTATCCATTGTCAGCATAGAGTAAAAATTACATGAGAAAGAATGCAGATAAAGTCCAACATTACGACTATCAAAATTAGGAAGAAGTAATTTAGTAATTAAGATCAATTATGCAACAAATAGATGCTAAAGTCTGGATATGTGGAGAACATTAGTAAACCAATCCTCTGTCATATGGAGGAAAGATGTAAAGGAGCTACTACCTACACTACAGATGAGTATTTTACTCCCCAAAGCCTAGGAAACCCTGTGGAGGAAAGCCAATATCTCTTTCGTGTTTACCTTACCTTTCATTGTCAAATCGGGAAATAATAGTTAAAATAATGAACTTTAATGTGACTGCAAAGGGCAACCATGAAACAATTCTGAAACACACTGCAAGTGTTCCCATGACTTTTTTTTTTTCCCAGAAAGTTGCTTCTTCGACTTTTGCAGTTCTGAACATTTGTGTCTACCATTGTACCAACCCAGATATTTCCAGATTGGCTGCATCTGTGTTGTGTGTACATGTTGTACATGTTCGTGTTCGTCTGCATCTGCACCTGTTGCAGGTGGACTTGAAGGCTTAAGGTGGATGTTGGGTGTCCTCTTGATCACTCTCTATCCTACTAATTAAGGACTAAGTCTCACTCATTCACAAATGTCACAGATTCTGGTAGAGTAGGTGGCTAGTAAACCCCACAGATTGTCCTGTCTTCCCTTCTTCAGAGCTGGGATTAAACTGTGTGCTTTACACGTGAGTGCTGACATCAGAATTCATGTCCTCGTGCTTTTTCATGGGGCAAACGTTCTACAGACTGAACAATTTATGCAGCACAAAATTATGTGAGTTTTATTTTACAAACAATGCTTTTTCTTCATACATGATGTGGCAAAGATCCTGATAGTCAGAATACATTTGCCACAAACGAATCAGTTACTGAGAGTGTATCTTATAATGATACTGCAAACCAACCGATTCCTAATGTCCAAATCCATCATTGTATATGCAAAACTATGATAGTTATCACCTGCATTATTTCTTTGTAGATGTATTTCCTATTATTTTCAAGTTTAGGTGGAACAAAAAGATCAATATTTTTTGAAATATGAACCTTTTACAGTAAAATTCAGAATAGAACTTTGTGTATGAATATTCCAGAGGAGACCACAGCTGCTTTCACTCTGAGGAAGATGATCTAATAATAATAAGATACTGTGAACACCTGATAAGTAGGAAATTGTGAACACCTGTTTCTCACTGGAAACTATTTCAAGTAAATGGTAAATATACAGTGGATTATTCATTAAGCAAGCAAATTATTATGTGGTGAGAGAATCTGAGAAAGAAAAGAAGAATACTTGTTCTTCCTCATAATCAGAATTTAGCTGATAACATACGTATATGTAAACAAATATGCATGTGTAAACAGGAAAAAAGGCAGAAAAAAGGAGAAGAAATGCTATGCATTAGGGGAAAAGGAAGGGCTGGTTGCAGGCAAGGGACATATATTATGTCAGAGGATACAAAGCTAGTGGTTTTAGTTCTAACCTTGTCATAGAGTTTTCAGTCTTGGCAGTGGATAAAGACATAAAAATATATATGATAGACAAAGTCTAAAAGACAAGATGAAGCTCCATAACTTTCATTTTGAATTGCTACTCCAGTTTATAAAAAATACTGTGATGTGTATAATCTTGGGTATGTTTAATTTTGTTTAATGATTGGTGTAGGAGAATTGTCTGTATTCTGTCAATCATCTTTTAAATAAACACTGATTAGCCAGGCAGGAAGTATAGGTGGGGAAACCAGACAGGAAGTAGAAATGATGCAATGAGAACAGAGGAATTCTGGAAAGGAGGGAGTTGATTCCTTCCAGTCATGCACAGATCACTGAAGAAGCAGGATGTGATCTGCCTGCTGAAAAAGGTACTGAGCCATATGGCAAAAATAGATCAGAATAATGGGTTAATATAATCTACAAGAGCTAATATGTAGCCTGACCTAATGGGCCAATCAGCTTTATAACTTATAGAGATCTCTGTGTGATTTTCTTTGGGGCTTGCCAGCTTTTGGGTACTGGGTGGGACAGATAACCCAACAAGCAGTCCCCTTTATGTTACTGATGATGGACTGAAATTTGTAATGTTTTTATAATAAAGTTTTAATATACTTTATAATTTTTAAGAAATTATTATATGAAATCAATGTGTTAATGATTTTCTAAAAAATTATTTACTAATTAAAGCATAATATACAGTCTAAAAAAGAAACAAAGCCAAGCCGTTGGGTGGCTCACATCTTTAATCCCAGCACTAGGGAGGTGGAGGCTGAAAGTTGTATGGCTGGACAGAGTGAAGAATATAAGGTAGGAGGAGACAGGAGCTCAGGATTCAGTCTGAGGTTTCCTAAAGACAGCATTCACTCTGAGGACTTGTAGAGAGACAGGATATGCCATTCAGTCTAAGAATTTTGAAAAGGTAACTAGTGACCGGCTGCTCTCTGCTTCTCTGATCTTTCATTTTCCAACCCCTAATATAAGTCTCTGGGTTTTTATTATTAATAAATATCAGTTAGAAGTCGTTCAACATTTTATCCTTTTGAAAGAGTTAAAAGCAACTTAATAGTGGTAGGAGTAACAGATGATACCTTCAATGAAGTATCTAGAGTATAGTTGAATTGTTAATAGTCTTTAATAAAATCAGCCATAAGTAAAGGTTTCACAGACAGAAAAATATCATACACATCTTACATACATCTTTCTGAAGGAAAGCCAAAAGAGTGGGAAGTTGATCAATCATTCATTGTAACAAGAAGTACTTCAATGCAAAAACTAAGAAAACTATAGGGGTGAAGAAAATTATATCCTATTGCATTTTAAGAAGATAGAAGAAAAATCTTCAATAAACATTTCCAAGTAGAACTCATCAATTTATGACAAAAATATACCGAAACAACAAGTAGCATTTTCAGTGTAAAAGAAGTATAGTCAGCATTTGAAACTAGCACATCGAAAGAAGAAAACCTTACGAATAGCAACTGACCCTGAAGATAAAGCATTTGAAAAACTCATTGTTCAGTCATGAAGAAAACTGAACAAACAAGGAACAGAGGAAGCAAATGCTGTTTAAATGATGATGAACATCTGTAAAAATTTGTAGCTAAAATCATGGC